TCTTTTTTTTTTCCTCCCCTCACTCCAACTTCATTTTTAGGTAATTATTCAGCTCTTTGGGAATGTTTTGTAATTCACACCCCACACATTACGTAACAGGAGTCACAAAAGTGACCTTGAACTGCTCAAGTCGAATTACAAAACCTGCTGGGCTTTATCGAAGAGGGGATCTACACAAATCCCACGCACATTAATGGCAAGGAGACACAGTATGGAGGATTGAAAGGTGTATTTTAGGCTGAGAAATACCTCGCTTTAGATAAAACCTGAGGGACAATAGTTACTTTTCAGGCGTTTAAACTGGCACGTCTGCTCAAACTCAGGCTAAGACCACTGCAGAGAGCTCCTCACTCAAGGACACTGCAACAGGATACACAGCTGCTGCCGGGATTAATCCGGAGAGGTTTTGGTGGGGGGACAGCGAAAGAACCACTGGGTTTTCTCATCCTCAACTCACAGCTTCCTCTGACCTCATAGTGATATCCCAAATTACACCGAGTTACATGCTGAGGCTTGAATAATCCTGCTCACAGACTGGGCTCGGCCTGAAGCTGAGATGAGGCTGACTATATTATTCTTTGTAGTGATTCACATCCATCTATACTCCTCCACCTACACAAGTCTTTGGTCTTGTACTGTGTGTGTATCAATATGTATGGCACATTAACTCTCTCAAAGTTGAGGCTTTTAATTCCCTCTGGACTGACCTATGATAAACTGCAGCCACAGTGCTACTAAAAGGCACTTATTGTATGATAGTTTGTTTCCACACATCACTACACTTAAACAGATTCTGCAACAGACATGCCATTACAAAATGTATACATAATGTACAGAACTACTGAACTGAACCATTAGTCACTCTGCACATGAAATGTCCCAGCAGCCTAATTACAGAGTACAGTTTCATAATTAAACATGGCACAATAAATGTGCCGGTAATACAACTACTCATCAATCACAGCCTTTAAAATGAAAGCAGAACAGTTTGTAGCCCCCAAGTTAAGGGATAAAAGGTAACGCTGCCACCTAGTGGTGACTGAAAAACAGAAGAATCTGTTAAAATCAAATTTAAAACAATG